ACCCATGGCCTTGGTGTTATCAGCACCGCACTCTACTGAGTGAGCCACGGGCCGGCCCCGAGGAGGGTTTTCTTATGGGAGGAGTCTTATTTGGCCTCATATGTAGTTGGTTCATCGGGGGCCTTCTGAATTTGAGATTGACCCTACAAGGAATATACTTTGAAGTGTGATGTTATTAGTTTATGTAATAATTTAACCCGGATTATAATATTCTCTCATGTAGCAAATTCATTACTTAAAACCCTGCAGTTATCAAAAGAATATATTAGAAGTTAGAATAAGTGTGAACTACTTTTAGCTAATTAGTAGTGTTTTATAAAAAATGATGGTTTAGAAAAGAAAAAAAGGATTCAAGAAAACAAACTTTAATATGTTTTATTTACATGCATTAGTAATAGCAGCTTTATTCAGTTCTTTGCATTTAGTTTATGGGATTGACTCTTATGACTTAAAATTTAGTACATGTGATATGTTGTATATTATGGTTAAGTCTATACGTTAATAATTTCAGTGGCCATGTGTCTGTAGGACCACTATTTTCCATCAGCATTTAATGTATTTTGAAAAAAGGAACTTTTTTTTTTCTCATAATGAAAATGAGATTTACCATCTTATAGCCTTGTCCTGAAGACTCAGTTCTAGCACCAGCCACCATGCCTCAGTTTGTAAGGACATATCCCCAGTCTTTATTTATTTGTCTTTTTTGGTGGCTAGCTGGTACGTGGATTGAAACCCATGACCTTGGTATTATATGGCTGCCCTCTAACCAGCTGAGCTATCTGGCCAGTCTTGAGCTGAATTATTGAGCACACCAGATTTGTCCCCGCCTCATTCCCCCCGAGCCTTTTGCTGTCTCTTGTCCACATAGATCTTACAACCTCGTGCTTGCAGATATGTTATAATAATAGTGGCTAATTTGAGTGGAGTTGGGGGACCAGTGTTACGTAAACAGAAATGTTATAGTGCTTCATGGGGTGATTGTAGGCACATGCTTATTCGTTACACATTGATCTTTTTAATTAGTGAGTGCTTGTAGATAGTAATCATTTTTTATTTAATTATACTTAAAAGTCCTTGATAACAAATATTATCATATTTCAGAAGTTGAGATTTTCTTCAGCTATATGTTAAAAATTTTAACTTACTTAGTGACTTAAGTGAAGTCTGGCGTCTACCCAGGTAAGAAAGAACTCCCATCCCCTCTCTCCTTAGAGGTGCCTGTCTTTCCTTTATTTTAGGTTAGTTGATAATCCTGCGTGCTCAGCTTTCTGATGACTTCAACAAAAGTTCTGGTTTTGCTGATTATCTGGCTTTTTCGTTCTAACGGTGGTAGTGACTTTCTAGTTCTCTGTGTCCTAAGTGCTTACCTTCGTTTTTGAAAGACATGTTTGCTGGGTAAAGAATGCTAGTTTTACATGTTTTTTCTCAGTTCTTTAAAGGTATCGCTCACTTTGTCTTACATAGTTTCTGATGAAGAAGCCTGCTGTTGTGCTTATACTTATTTCTCTGAATGTAGTGTGACTTTTTTTTTTTCTTCCTGGTTGCTTTTCAAGATTTTTCTCTTTATCACTGGTTTTCAGCAATTTGATTATGATGGGCTATATACAGTGTAGTTTTCTTAGGCTTATTCTGCTTGAGATTTGTTGAGATTCTTAGATTGGCAGATTTGTAGTTTTTGTCAAATTTGGAAACATTTGTTTATTATTTCATCAAATATTTTTTCTGACCCACATCCCTTCTTTATTCTTGTACTTCAGCTACACCTATGTTAGACTGCTTGGTATTCTCGTTGGTCAGTGACGTTCTGTTCTTTTTTTTCAGAAGTTTTTGTATGTGCTTCATATTGAGTTCTTTCGTTTTGTCTGTATTTTGATCTTTTCTTTTGCATTAACTAATGTGTTGTTAATCCTATCTAGTACTTTTTTTTACATTATACATATTTTACTTTTCTATCTCTAGAAATTCCATTTAGTACTTATTTAATAACTTCCATTTCTCTCTTTATTATGCTCATGTTTTATCTTTTTGAATGTATGGATTATATTTATAATAACTGTTTTATGGTCCCTGTTAGTTCCATTATCTCTGTCATTTCAGTCCATTTCTTTTTATGATTTTTTCTTATTTTGGGTCTTATTTTTCTGTTTCTTTGCATGGTTCATAGTATTTGGTTGGATGCTGGATTTTGTGAATTTTGTGCTCTCAGTTGCTGGGTCTTGAGGCACTTTTTAAAATAGTGTTGGCTATTGTTTAAATTAAATTACTTTTGGGCTGGCCTGTGGCTCACTTGGGAGAGTGTGGTTCTGATAACACCAAGGCCACGGGTTTGGATCCCTATATAGGGAT